GCGGCGCCCCACCCCATTCCCTCCACGTGCTGCTCTGCTCCACTGGGTGTCCTGGGTCCCCCAGATTCAGCCTGTCTGGTGGTGATCGCCCTTATACAACCTGCCCCTCCACCCCCTACATCTGGGCCAAAGGTCCATAGTCCTGGCTACCTCCCTCTACCCTTCCCCAAAGTCCAGTATCAAGTCTGACCCCTCCCTGCCCATCCTCTTTTATCCCTCATCAAAGGTCTGCTGCGGACTAGCCCCCCTCCTGGGCCCGTGGCCTCAGACGCCCATGTCTCCTTGCCCACCATCTCATCCTCCTTTCAGGCTCTGAGATGCTTTCCTAAAACATGTTGCCGGCCAGGCCCCTCCTGACTGAACTCTCCTGTGTCTACCCCTCGATGAGGCCTGGACCAGGGGGTCTGGTTTGGGAATGTCTCTTCCACTCTGGCTCCCTGTTTCCAGTGCCTGGCACACACACCTGTGTCTGCCTCCCCACGTCCATGTCCCTGAGTCTAGCTTGGGCCTGGCATCGGTGTGCAGGGAGCAATGAATGGTAGGGTGGCCTCAGGCAGTGCCCTGAGTCAGCTCCCAGGCTCGCAGGAGCTGGTGGTCCTAGCCCTCAGGGTTGGCCACTGGCCATCAGGCGCAGGCCAGTTGCCCAAGGTGGCTCAAGAGGGCGGTCCCCTCCAGGGCACAGGTCTGGAGAGAGCAGAGGTGCCAACCTGTGGGGGAGTTGCTCTAGCCGAGTGCCGATGGGGCTTGCATTGGGAGCCCAGGACTTCAGCCCAGAGCCAGCTGTGCACCTGGCAGGCCACTCACCCTCTGAGCCTCCATGTCACACAGGAGATTGCGAAGGGGGAGTCAGTGGTGAATGATGCCCACGGGACAGCCCCTGGTGAGGGCTTGACTGTCCCAGCTTCTGGGGCCCCTTCCCATTCAGGTGGGACCTCCTGCCCTGAGCTGGAACTTGCCGTGGAAATAGAGGCTGTGATGGGGCCTCGTGGGGCCCCCATGTCCCAGGGGCCTCCTCAGATTCCCAAGTCCTTCCCTGCCCTGGGGACATCATGGTGGCACTCAGGCAGGTGTGTGATGGGTGTGGGCCCCACTGTCCTCTCTGGAGCAGGAACCTCTGCTGAGCGCATAGGAGGAGCCCCTGTTGGGGCCTCCCTCCCTCCACCAGCCCTTCTGCATGAGGTCCTTGCCACCCATCCCAAGAGGGGGTCTGTGACCTATTAGTTAATGCCATGGGGACCCAAGTGAGAAATGGGGTTGGGGGACACGGTGGGATGGGGGTGGGAGGTGCAGGCCCCATGCAGGGCCAGCGACTGGGGGAGGGGAAGTTGGGGCCCTCATGGGGTGTCTGCCTTTCTCAGTGAGAGGCGGAGGCCCAGCAGAGGCCTGCGGCAGGTGGGTGCTGAGCCGGCTGCGGTGCTGACTTGGAAGGAGGTTCAGGGTCTCCCTGCTTCATCACGTGGGTGTGAAGCCTTGCCCCACAGCTCACTTTGCACCAGCCTTCTGGTGTGGCGAGAAGGAGGCCAGTATTCCTGCCCAGTCCTCGGGCAAGATGGGAAGCGGGCAGAGGGAGGGTGGGCCACCCGCCCCCTGTGTGGCCTCTGGCCCAGAAGCATCTCCTGTTCCCAAAGATGTGGTTGGAAGCAGAATTCCAGAGAAAGACCAGTCCTGGCTGGCCACCAGGACGCACTGGGCATCAGAGTGGTCTCGGGAGGGCTGTGGGTCCCAAGGTCACACAGGACACCCCGTACCCAGCTCTCTCGCCTGCCTCCACAGCACACCCCAGCCAGGAACCTGTGAGTGGGCTCTGGTGTCCTGGGCCACCCTCACCCTTACCAGAGCCCTGCTGTGATCCCTCCCATGCTTTCCACTGCCTCTTCCCTCCCTCTGCCCTGGCTGAGGCCTCCCTGCTCTCTCGGGACATGTCCAGCCCCCACTTGTCCTCAGAGAACACAGAGCTGGCCAGTCACACCCATCCAGCCCCAGTTTCCAGGCTCCCCACGGCCTCCCAGAGGATGAGGCCATGTAAGGCAGTGGCTGATGAAGCTGGTGGGGACCATGCTCTTAGATCTCCTTGGGGCCTGAGGCCGTGACCCCCAGGGCCATCTGAGGAAGCAGCAGGACTGTCATGTAGCCCTGGCAGTGAGCAACCCCCATCCCACTGCGCGGGGACTAATGGAGGACAGAGAGGGGGCCGGGGGCTGCGGTTCCTGAGTATGGCCTAGCAGGTGACCCCCCTCCCTTGGGGAGGGCCCTCCTCACCCTTGCTGGGGTTAGCCGTGCACCACAATGCACAATCCAGGTGGGGGTACGGGGATCCCTGGACAGGTCCCCGAGGGCCACTGGCTTCTACCTCTGTTCCCCTGCAAGTGCTTTCTAGCATTACTTTCAGGCCAACCCCATGCCAGGCAGCAGGGACCTCAAGATTCTTGTGACATATTCAGCCCTCCAGGTCCCTGGGAGACACCCCAAAGCCCACTAGGTACCCAGGGGAGAGAAGTGAGGGCGTGGGTGCTGGCAGGCTGGTGAGGAGCCTGAGGCCTGAGTCCCCCACTGGGCCCTCACTGAGGCCACCCTGGGCCTACGTCTTAAAGAGGCCCTGGAGCTGCTGGCTGGGGGGTGGTGTGAGCAGAAGCCCAGAGACTCCGGGACAGCCCAGTGAGTGCACCAGGGCCCCTGGGGTGGGCTCAGGAGGCCCTGGGCAGCAGAGTGGAGGGCGATGGTATTCAGATGAGGAGATTGTGGGACCAAGAGGGGTGCAGAGGGAGGGGCTCGGGGAGCTCGGGCTGGAAGGATGGGGTGGGGGCCGCAGAGGTGGGTGGCGGCGTGCCCCAGCAGGAGGCCAGCCTGCTGCTCTGTGCTCCAGCCATGTGACACGTGGCCCCTGCATTCCAGCCGTGTCCAGGCTGTCTTTCATCTCCCTGCCTCAGCCCCAATTTCTGTCAGGCAGAGGCTGACACGGGGACAGGTGTGACAAGTGTCTGGCTTCCTTTTCGAAAATTGGCAAAAGAAAAACTCTCCCCACAAAGATATTCCATCTACACACCTCCTGGATGTCACCGAGAGGGCCCATCACGGCTGAGACAGATGGTGGCCCTAATGGACTCTATTCTTCACCTGCTGCTGGAGTTATGGCCCAGCCCCCAGGCTGGCCTGAGGCGGGTGCTGGTGGCATGGGGGGTGTCAGTGCCTCTACGGAGCCCTCCCGACGCTGTGGCTGCCTCCCCTGACCCCCAGATCACAGGAAGCCTGATACAGCAGGACCATCCTTGTCAGTACAAGGGGCTCTGGTGGGGCAGTATGTCCCTGGGGTGGGTGGTGGGAAATAGGGAGGTAGGGCTACAGGCCTTCACGCTTTGACCCCCACAGCTCATTTCCTGCCGGGTGGCCAATGTGGATGCTGGTGGGTTCACTGTCCCCACGTTGCCCCAAGGCCCAGGTGGGGTCAGGCCCTGCCTGGCATGTCATGCGCACAGGGCCCCTCAGGCCTAGCTGAGGCCCCTTCCCTGCCGAGAACCCTTGGTGGGAGCCCAGGGACCGAGAGCCCGGCCAAGCTCCGTGCGCTCTGCTTGTTCGCCTGCTCCCTCAGTGGCACCCTAGGGGCTAAGTCCAGTTTTCGGGGCGAGGCTGTGGTTGGGGAGGGGAGTGGGATGGGCGTGGTGGGGCTCTGGGAAGAAGAGCCTTCCGAGGGGCTGTCTGGGAACAAGGAGGAGGTGCCGCCTGAGCTCAGGTCAGGCCAGGTCAGGTCAGGTCAGGTGCCATCATGCCCTTGGTAGCTGTAGCTTAACTTCCCCTCCATCAGGGGGGACGTGGCCCCTGCCAGGGGCAAATGAGGTGCTCCCGTGGGGTGGGCGGGCTGGGCATTCCCTGTGCATCTACTGTGTGCACCAGGCCTGTGTGAGCTGTGTGGCCTCAACACCCTGTGAGGTGGGGCCTGTCTTCTGCACTTTTCAGCCAAGGGAATGGGTTTGTAGAGGTTGGGAGACCGGGCGGGGACCCCACAGCACGGGGCTCTTGAAAGGGACTCCCACTGCCTGGGGTTGGCCTCACCCACCCTACCCTGGGCCAGCTGCCCCATCCAGTGTGGCACATGAGACCAAATGGAACAAACTAAAAACTCTTCTGATTTTACCAGTTCGTGTGCATCGTAGAAAAATCTGGAAATATATACCGGAGTTTTAAGAAATTTGTTGTACTAATCAGCTGAAGCTGTCATAGCAAAATGCTACAGACAGACACTCAAACCACAGAAATGTATTTCGCACAGTTCTGGAGGCTGGAAGTCTGAGATCAGGGTGCTGGTAGGGTCGGTTCTGGTGAGGGCTCTCTTCCTGGTTTGTAGACAGCCGCCTTCCTCACGTTGCTCACAGGAAAATAGGCTCTCAGGTATCTCTTCTTATGAGGGCACTAATCCCATCATGGGGCCCCATCCTCACAACCTCATCTAAACCTAATCACCTCCCAAGGCCCCACCTCCAAATACCATCACATTGGGGGTGAAGGCTTCAGCATATGAGTTTGGGGGGTGGGGCACAGACATTCAGCCTGGAACAGAAGTGAAGCTGCTCTTGGCATCAGGCACTGCTGCCTCACCCTGTGGGGACGTCAGTGCCCCATAGACTCTCCTGGGCCTGGACACCTTTGGGACAGCCATCTCCACAACCTCACACTTATTACATTCACGTGACGGACGTTTATGGAGCATCTCCTGTGCCGTCACCAGCCCTAGTCCTGCCCCAAGGAGCCCACGGCCCGGGGGTGCAGAAACAAGCAAGGCAAACCTGCCAAGTTGACCATTGAGGTGTGGGGCAAAGGGGGCACCTGGCAGTGGACAGAGGTGGGGGTTTCACGGACCCTGGGAATGATTTGTCAAGTTCTCAGACATAGCCTCCCCCTTTTACAGATGACAGACCCGGCTCTGAGAGGCGGAGTTTGCTCGCCGTGCCTGAGCTGAGCAGGGCAACGTGTCTGGGCTGGGGTGACCTGGCTCATGACGGGGGCAAGCCTGTGACCAGGGAACAGTAGGAGGGTGGGCGAGAGGCAGCTGGCTGCCTTCCCAGTGGGTTGCTGGATTTTTCTGATGCATCAACAGAAGAGGTGCAGGGGCCTGGGCCACGGGGTGCTGCTCTGAGCAGGTGGGGCCTGTGAGGGCCGTGGGCAACAGCCAAGGGCACCCCATTCCCTGCACGTCTTTTTCCTCCTCCACACCGGGCTCCCCTGGCCCCATGGGGCCACACGGTGAGGGGTCAACTTGAGGGAGGCCTTTGGGGTGCAACCCTTCTTTCCTTGGCTCAGTGGTTATTGAGCACCTGCTGTGTGCAGCCCCTCACAGGCCATCTGCAAGTGAGCAGGCCGAGGGTCTTCCAAGGGCACTGGGTGGGGAGCAAGTCTGTCTGACCCAGGCCTGGGCTCGTGCTGGGGACACTTGTATGTTGGGCTGGGTGAGAAGGGAATGAGGATGTGAACTCGTTAGGAAAATTATTAGGGAAAAGGCAAATGTCTTTGTCAGGCTTGGTGAAGTCGAGCCATGCCGGCCTGGGTGGGGAGGCAGGGGAGGCCAGCTGGGCGCTGGGTATGTCCTCTGTGGGATAAAAGGCTGGGTTGCCTGGGTCCTCAGGTTTACACAGGGGGGGTGAGTGGAGTGTGGCCTGCAGATGGCCCCCTGCCTCCTGATGCCTGGCCACGGCAGTCCCCAGCAATGCCTTGGGCTTTCAGGGACTCCTCCCCAGCCTGCCCATTCCTCTGCCAAGGGGCATCGGTGCCCTGGGTCCAGTGAGGCGGGGGGTGGGGTGGGAGAGGCCATGCTGGGAATCTGTCCCGGGGGCTGGTGCTGAGGAAATGAGGCCACCCTCCCAGCCCCACCCCCAGGGCAGCCGACCCCCTTCTGCTGCCAGGAGCGCCTGGTGCATCAGCCTCAGGAAGTAGCCGAAATACACTGACCTGCTTTTGCAGGAGGCAGCGGCGCGCCTGGTCCTCCCACCCTCACTGGTGAGAAGCCGCCAACAATTTCCATCCCAAATTGATTTCAAATAAGGAAAAGTTATCACACACAATCATATAGGAATAATTTATCACTCGTTAATAAAAGAGCAATTACTTATTCACGTCACCCCTGCCTGCGTGTCATGCATTTGGATGCAGAAACGTGATTGGGGCTCTCATAGAGGCCAAGGGCAAGGGAGCCCTCCCAGGGGCTGCAGACCCCTACCCGAGGGCCCGGGTTTATCCGCTGGATCCCCTGCTCCTGAGGGTCCCCAGTCTGGGGTCAGGGGGTCGGATCTGTGACCCCGGAGCAGGCAGGGCTGAGGAGGGACAGTGGGAGGGGCTGCCTGGAGGTGGTAGGACTGTGAAAGGCCCAGGGCACACATGGGTCTTCAGGCTGGAAGCTGTCCCTTCAAGAGTCTGGATTTCAGAGGCCCCTGGAGACAGGAGCTTGGAGCGTCCCTGAAGGCTGGGGGCGTCCTTGGCCACCCTTGGCTGAGCAGCCGCTGAAGAGCAGCCAGACGCTGGGCTGAGCACCAGGAGGCTTCGAGAGCTCTCAGTCCCGCTTTCTCTTCCTGCACCTTGGAGACGCCTGCTGCTAACCCACGTTCGTCTCCACCTTCTGGCAGATATACTTTATTTTCTTCTTTTTATTTATCTCTGTTTCTGAGATTTCATTGCCAAGTATGCAGTCTTTTTAAAAAGATAAGACTGTGGTCGGCCATATCTTGCTCAAAGTGAAAGCCTGCACCCAGCCCTCAGAGGCTGGTCTGGGGCATTGGTTTGTAGCCCTCCTCCAACCCCTCTAATGTTGCCATGTTCCCTGTTTTTCCAGGTGGTTACCTTCACATTTCCATGTCTCCTACCCCAGCCCCCTCTTCTCCAGCACACTCCCCAGTGTGGCTGTCTCACTACCGACAGTTAAATTCATAACCAGTGTTTCCTAATCCAGGTCACATGAATGCTTGTCACTGCCTGACTACAGGGGTGACCCTCTCGCTCTCGTCTGGTCTTTTGTTTTTCCTGGAGTTTACAGTTGACTTTGTCTTTTTTTCTCTTGTCCCATATGCCACCCTCATGTGCTTACTCTTCTCTGTGTCAGGCATTCTACTGGGTGTCTCGTTTTCCCCAGGGGAAGTCTCCCTCTAGGCCTTTGTCCTGCTGTCCCCTCCTGGGCTGGGCATGCTGTGGCCCCCTCACAGCTGCCCCTGACTGCCTTTCATCACTCAGTGTTTCTTGGGGTTCATATTTATATCCTGTTTTAGGTGAAGTGCATTCCCAGCTAACCATCTAAGGAAGGCACAGTGAAGAATCATTCTATGAGCCCTTGAATGTTAGCAAATCTATTCAAGCTGGATTGGCCCAGTCCAGAATTCCAGGTTGAAAATAGTTTCCCCCCCAGTGTTTTGAAGCCGTTGCAGTTTTGTGGTCTTCTGGCATCCAGTGTGCTGTGGAGAAGTCTGCTGCCGTGTTGCTGTTCCTCTCTGGATCCCCAGAGACCTGAAATCGCACTGTGAATGTCACGTGTTGTGCCAGGCACTCACCCAGGAGAGCCTTCAGCTCTGGGAGATTTTCGGGTATTATTTCTTTGATAACTTTTTCCCTCTATTTTCTGGTTTCTTTCTGGAATTACCTAAGACAGGTGTTGGATCTGTATTTGTCTTCTGAATCTCATCATTTTTTCCCTGTGTCTCTTTTTGTTTTTCTTTCTGGAAGACTTCCTTAACCTTGTTTTCCAACCTCTCTGTTGATTTGGGGGATAATTTTAGCAATTCTATCTTTAACTTCCAGGGACTCTTCTTGTTTTCTGATGGCTCCTTGTTCATAGCACCCAGTTCTTGTTTTAAATCCTCTTCTATCCCCACGAGGACACTGATTAGATTTTCCCTAATTTTTATCTATTTGCTGCACTGTCTCTGCTTCCTCTGGAGGCATTGCCGCGATTGTCAGCATTGGCACCTTTTCCAGACACCTGGTTTTCTGGTAGTGTTTACTAGGGAAGCATGGAAGGTGGTGGGATGCACAGGTCTCTGACATGGGTGGAGGGTGGGCACAGAGGGGCCCGCCGAGTGTGCCAGTGCTGCGGGAGGAGCAGCAGCATCTTGTGAGGCCATTCCATCTGTGCTGGGCTCCACGCCTGTCTCCGAGCCTCCTCCCTCCGCTGAGGCTAAGCTCGGTGGAGGCAGGGAGGTTGCCCTACGTGTGTTCGCAGCATGACCTGGCTGCCGTGCCCTCCTCCCACCCAGACGCAGCCTCTCATGGACAAAGCAGGGCTACCATGCCAGGCAGGAGGGGCCTCAAGACAAGTAGAGCGATCAGCATGGCTGCGGATGCCACCTGTGAGCTGTGGGCCTCTCCTGCCTGGGCTCCTCACCTCAGACAGGGCTGCCCAAGGTCAGAGCGGCAGAGGCCCCACACCAGCCCCTGGGGAGGCAGGGTGTTGGCCACAAAGCCAGAGCCTGGGTGGAGGTGCTCAGGGGGGTTCCAGGCTGGTTCCAGGCTGGGGCCCCGGGGAGGTGGGTCCTGGCCTGTTGTCATCCTCATGTCACTGCTGTAGAGACAGCTTCCCCAGCCTGTTGGTGAGGGTGTACAGAGCTGGCATCTGAGCCCAGGGCTCCTGGACCCTGGGGTCCACCTCGGGCAGCCCATGGAGCAGAAAGCTTGGGCCAAGGATAAGCCTCTCTGGGGGTCAGAGAGCCCAGAGCATGCGTTGCGGGGAGGGGCTCAGCAGCCCACCTGCTGCAGGGGGGCTGCTTCCCCTTTTTGTTATCTGGGTCACTTGGGGCTCAGGGCCTGCCCTGGCCATTTGATGTGGCAGGAGGGGAGTCTTGGACCCCGTTCCCTGGTCTTGCTGGTTCCCTGTGGCCACCACACCTTGATAAGGCTCAATGCCCTTGTCTGAGGAGTGGGGTTGATGGTCATCTCCTCGTGCTGTGGGATGTAGCGAAACCTCCAGGAGGGAGGGACATCTGTGACTTGGGCGTTCCAGGGAGGTGAGGGCCCCATCTCCCCCCACTCTCCCCTCCACTGGTGCCTGGTGCTGTGTGAGGCTGGGATGTCAAGGTGGATGGACAGGGCCTCCCTGGGAGACAAGCTCGACCAAGAAGGCCCTCATGGCCTCAAGGCACTGCTGCTGGAATGCTCAGGGCTGTCTCGTGTCTGCCCAGCACTGTCCACCCACTCACTCACCTCTGGGCTGGTGGGGGTCTCTCCTCCTCAGGATCCCACACCCTCCTCTTTGGCTCTGTGGCCAGGTCACACAGGGGTTGGCTCGCTGGCCCACTAGCATCACACTGTCCACTTGGCGGGGAGGAGGGGACACAGCAAGTCAGTTTTGACGCACTTCCCAAGATGTTAGGATTCAGGCCTTGGCTGACAACTCTTCCCATTTAGGAACAAATAACAAAGGTGGGACAACTCGGTCCAGGAAAGGAGAGAGGCACTGGCATGCAGTCCGTCTTGCCAACAGGCTTCCCCGGACCATCCTGTGGACCCACGGTCCCTGGATGCAGTGACCTCAGCCGGTGGTGACTCGAATGGGAGCATCTCAGGCTGAGGGTCCTGGGCCCCTCACTTGCCTCTGGCCAGGGGTGCTCAGCAGACCGTGCTGGTCCTCCCCACGGTCTCTTTTGGCGAGTGCTGACCCCCACCCTCACTCTCCCAGCTCAGTTTCAAAGCCCCCAAGCACCCTGCCCATGTTAACCCCTTCTCGGGGCCCAAGCCACCCTGGTCGGGAGCGTTTGCGAGAACTCGGCTCTCCTGGGACAGCGAAGGTGGGCTTCAGTCCAGCTGCTCCCTCCAGATGGGGCTAATCCGCAGCGGCCCAGAGACCGGATGGGCTGATCCCCAAGGGTGAACGGTCGAGGGCCTCCGGAGACCTGCATTTGTCTTTCCATAGCCAAATAGATCCTGCTCGGGCAGAGGCCACCGCCTGCCTTGTCGGTGATGTTGACAAGTGCCAAGGGCTCGGGAACACCTGGGAATGTGCCCACCATCAACTCCCGCCACAGAGGAGAGCAGAACCCCTCGGCCTGGCTCCTGGCTCCTGGCTGCTGGGTGGGGCTCCCATGTCTGCCAGCCTCTGCACAGCAGCCCCTCTGCTGTTTGGCTGGCTCGCCTCTGTGCCCTGATCACGCAGGCCCCAGCGGCACAAGTTCCAAGAGTGCGTTCCTATTGTGTGTGCCCATGGCGTGCACACCCCCACCCCGAGTGTGCACCCCAAGCATGGGCTTCTGCACTGCATCTGCCCTGTTGGAGGCTGCCGTCTGGGCCTCGCAGGAATGGTCAGCTTCGTGTTGGCGGTAGATGCAGGGTCCCGGGAGGAGTGTGGGATGGATTGCGGGGAGGGCAGGACCCATGTTGGCCCTGCCAGGCTAGGCATCCAGTCCTGGACAGGAGCTGGCAGTGGACGGGGATCTGGGCAGGCGGGTGGGCATGGTGGTAGGTGTGTGGCGGTAGGTTCCAGGCCCTGGCACGGGGAATGCCCCTTCTCTGAGCCTCCCTGGGGCAGGGGCATGTCGGCCACTGGCCAGTTTCTCATTAGCATCCTCTGGGGACTCAAGCCTATACTGGCTGCCGGATTGAATTAGCCTCAGGACCCTGATGAGCTGGTCGTGGAGACAGAATTCTCCAGGTAATTAGGCAGTGGGCGTTTGTTGGTGGCCTGATGGAGTGGGGGGTTTGC